TTATTTAATTTAATACTTTTTGATCACTTCCGCCATAACTACATATTAAATTTACGTTCACTAGCCCAGAATTAAATGTTTGACCACAAAACACGCTAAGGAGTTGGGCGGGGCTATAGATATCTGGGGGGGAGCGCTCTACAAATCAATTTTGCCGAGATCCACAGTGCACGCCTTTCGTATGTTCTCAACTGGGATCGTCAAAATTGTGTGGTTGAGAGAATTTTATGGATAAGCAGTGCTGGTTTAGTCAGGGTATTGTCTTGAAATGCAGGAACTGGTAATTCATCCTGCGTCTATGTGACTATGCCTCTACACCTTTAAGCCACCCGAATAATTGAGACATATCGTTCACTCATATCTGACATACGAACATAGAGGGACGTGTCTGGGCCCGCTGAAAGACACCCGAGGAAGTACCAGGTCCAAGTGGCGAACAGGCCAACGACCACACTTCGAGATCGGCTAGTAAACCCTAAGCATGGGCTTGGCTATTTGGACAGAAGAGGGGTCGTTTACAAAATTCCTTTCGGCGACTGCAATGTAATTTATTGTGGACAAACAGAAAGGTCCGCTTCTACACGCATACATGAACATCAATTAGCGGTAAAGAGGCGCGACCACCTGTCCGAAGTCGCCATGCATTCGCTTGAAACTGGGCACTAGTTTGCATGGGACCAAACCCGCATAGTGGGTTTCTGTCCATATAGGAGAGGCCGTGAATTTCTGGAAGGAATTTATTCCAGCGGCTTATGCATCAATAGGCATGTTGATTTGGATTCAATGTATATAAATCTGAAAAAGCGCCTACCATCAAAATCTGCTATTGACCAAGCATGACAAATCATTATGGATTTTTTAGTATGTTTAAAAATGCGCACTGCTCTTTACCTATTTCTCTCACGTCCGGCGACCACTTGGTGTGCCAGCGTCGAAAATTCACATTAAAGTTCGTTCACGTTTCCCAAAAATCCTTTTCTACCAAATAGTTGAATCCTTTTTTTGGGTTTGTGTTCCCTCTACGTGCTACAACTTCGTCAAAGAACATGGGTCTATATTTCATGCACAATGGTATTTCGATGGCGCTGTTAATTTATTCATATCCTTGGTGCCCAGTTTCCTCACTCTCGTTTCATTTGTTAAGAGTCCAGAATAGCGATGGGTGGGGTTTAATTTGCAACGATATCGTTCACATTTTGATGGTGTAGCGGTTAAATTTAAGCATGGTGGACTTAGTGACGAGCTCTACCCGAGCCTCAATTACGAATCCGTGTCTAGTAGGTGGGTTTTGGCATTCACTGCCAGCA